TATTATATTGAATATTTTAGAAATTAAAAAAAAAAAATGAAAAATTATTCACAATTAGCTATAGTGGCATCTGACTTGAACTTGAATGTTTTTACTCGATAAAAACATAACGGGATGATTTATCGAATTTTAAAAGCAAACTCGACGTAGCGCTGTATATACGGTCTTCGAAAAAAAAAATTGAAGTCTCTCTTATATCTTCGGAAATCGACGCGTTCAAACATACGGACAGACAGACAGACGGACAGGGCCAAATCGACTCAGCTCGTCGCCCTGATCAAGAATCTGCCACGCCTACTTCTGCCTGTTACATACATTTCAAGAAAACTATTATACCCTGATTTCCCATTGAAAATGGGTTCAGGGTATAAAAAAAAGAAGAAATTTTGTATTAATATTACTAACTTGTGCGCAAAATTTCAAGGCTCTATCTTTAAATTTACAACACTGCAGTGTTGGAAATCGAAACACAACTTCAACGCTCACTTACCGCTTCAATTTCCTGATCGAAGCGCACTGGACGCAGTCGACATAGCACCACGATTAGATAAATGAAGTTGATTCCAATGCCAAGGCCGGACCAGAGCACCACGTCCGGAGTGCACTCTATCAGGTAACCGTACATGCCCATCATGATGCAGCCGATGAGCATAGTAGCGCGCATCCACAGCGAACCGAAGGGTCCATGAGGCGCTAGAAACGCCAGAAAGAGGAAGGCCCAGCCCAGCTGAAAATAGAGATGATGCGGCTGTTGCCAGATCAGGCACTGTTCGATAGACCAGTCACCGGGATTTATGGAGCGCAGGGTGCCATTGTTGTCCCAGGTGATGGTGCCGCTGGCGGCACTTGTGCCTGCCGTGCTCTGTGCTATTAAGGTGCCAGCCGATGCTGCGGCCACTGCGCTGCTGCCGGCATTGGCTGCGGTGCTGCCGCCGCCAATCGCGACGCCAGCGCCGGTGCCAGCACCGATATCCATGCTGGCGCTGCTGCCGGCGCTGTTGATCAACGCCCCAACGCCGACGCCGGCTGCGCTACCCGCTGTACTGGGCATGGCGTTCACTTGGATTCGGTCGCTCTCGCTTTAGGACACGTTGCCCTACTCTCTCCCTCCTTGATTGCGTTGCCAGGCCTCGCTGCTCAGTCTACTTCCTCTCGGCGTTTTGTATTGTTTGTTTGATTCAGCAATTGAGTTTACCGTTGGTTGTTCTCTTCGCTAACCACTGTCTGTCTGTCAGCCTGACCGCGTGTCTGCCTTTGCTGTGTGCGTGGTCTGCTGCTGTCGCCGTATTTCACCTAGGATCACATTGTTGCACAGTTCACTCAAGACACTCTAGCTGCAAGTAAACAAAAAAAAAAAACATTATTGAACAAGTAAGCAAGCTCTAGTCGAGACTGCTCGACTACGAGATTCCCTGAACCCTTCGAGAAAGTGAGATAATTCAATAATGTAGCAGGCCAGTAAAAGATTTTAGGGACCAGTACTATGGTTAAAGATAGATCGAGAGAGCTAAGTTGGAGCTAGAAGAGTTGAGTTTAGGTTTGAAGAGCTAAGACTTGTAAAAGAATTTAAAGCGAAATAAAGTCATACTAAGGGATCTTATATGTAAATAACTTTTCTTGTGGATGGACAATCTTCATGATCGTGATTATTGATATTTCAATAATTCTGCGCGTCTTTCTGCTTACACGCATAAACA